AAGTCTGTACTTACCAGTGGATTGACTGTAGGCATTGCCAATGTTTGTTTTAACTACTTTGTAGACTACAGTTGTATCTGTATTGAAGGGTCCAATGTGTCCACTCCCACCTGCTGCTGCACTGAACACTACCACGGTCCTTTCTGTGTAAAGCAAAACATTGTGATCACATTATTTTGTAAATGTACTTCTACACTGTTATATTGTATTTATTCCGTTACCCAAAAGAATTCTCCACTGAAGTCTTAAAAATTAATCAGAACAAAAGTTTCGCTTTACCTTTGCTCTTCAGTTCAAGAATCTGATTTTCACTTTCCTTCAGCCTGGTTTCACTGTCCTTCAGTCTGGTTTCACTGTCCTTTAGCCTGGTTTCCATAACTGTCTGTTTTTCTTTCATGGCACCAAACTCTTTCAGGAAATCACACATGTCTGGAAAGCATGACTGTGTTTTACTAGTTATTTCTGTTTCAGGAACATTAACATCATCCTGGGCCAAAATCAGGCTGCAGTATAGCAGCATAGACAATACAATCGTAAAATTCATCTTCCAAGTTGATTCAGTGTCGTTCAGTCACCTATACTCTATGATCCCCCTGGCTGCTTTTATGTTATTTACTCTTTAACTCTGTTAATTTTTAATATCACATTTGATGGTTAACTTTGTTATCTTGTTGCAAATTATCTGTTTACTGTTTCAGTGGATGTGCAGTGAGGACATTTACTGGCAATCAATTAACCTTTGATATCCTTCAGAAATGTAAACAGAAATATTTCTCAACTCTTCACTGGTCTTACAGGAAAGATGAATGCTGTGAGAGCTTTGAAAGACAAGAACAAACAATGTAGGAGAGCTACGAGCCATAATGGGCTTGTTAAGCTATTACAGACAATACATACAGAATTTCTCCCGCATCGCAGGACCACTTTATAACTTGCTAATGGAAGAAGACAAACAATGTGCCATTGACAATAGGACTAGCCTAAGAGGGGCAGTCACAGAAGAAATCAGAACTATCGTACTATGCTCCTACTTTT